TCTCTCTCTCTCTCTCTCTCTCTCTCTCTCTCTCTCTCTCTCTCTCTCTGTCTGGGTGATTTTATAAAATTGCATTCCTCCTGGACCCAGGGTTCTTGGGGGCCTTCTTATGGAGGCTGCTAGGGTGGGCAGGTGTGGTTTCCTTGGAAGAGTGAGCTTCAGTTCTATGTTGGTCTGCCAGGGAGAAGGCTGGCTCTCAAAGGGGGGAGCAGCATTTGGCAGGGGCCTCAGCTGGGCAGAGGTCACCTGCCCTCTTTGGCCTTGTCCCTTCACAAGCTAGTTGTAAGTTCCAAGGAGGCACCGGCCCCAGATGGACAGTGCAGACTGACCTACAGTTGGGCCTGCAAACTCTGGTGAGCAGCACAACCTTGTAAGCCGAGCCTCTATGAAGAGATGAGCCCAGATGCCTGCGGGCCCCTACAGCCAGGAACACTTTGGATTCCAATCTCAGAGTGCCTTCAGGGAAGCTGTACCATCCCTGCCCGCACTTCCCCAATGGCTCATTCCCTTATGGTGAGGCTGCCTGCCTGGATCCTGCAGACTTTTCAGTTGAATTTGAACTATTCTTCATTTTTCTCTTTTTATTATTCTAAACACTTTAGTGAGGGCTCCCTTAACGATTTCTTCTTTAACTGGTCTTCAGTGGCTCTCAGCTGTGTCCCAGACAGGGGCAGCAGCACCACCTGGGCACTCATTGGAACAGAAAAGTTCTCCAGCCCCAGGTGGACCTCCTGAGAGAAACAAAGTGAGGCTCAGCCTTCTGCGCTTCCACAAGCCCTGAGTGGGGGACTCTGGCACCCCAGGTTTAAGCTCTACAGCCCCATGTTCTGAAGGACTAAAAGGAGGATCTGTGCTCCAGTGGAGTGCAGAGCTTTGTGTTTCTGTCCCTGTCCACACCAGGAGCCACAAAAGTGAGAATTACAGAGCTAACCTGGGTGAGCACGACTTTACAGTTTGAGAAAAGTGGCCATTTCATTAACCTTTGTGTGATTCATTTTCCCCAGTGGTACAAGGGAGGCCACGATTCCTGCCCTTCTCAGGTCTCAGGGTAGTGAAGATGATCACACAACTTGAGATCTCGGAGAGCTACACAGGCCGGGTATCCCGAAGGTATCGTTATTGTTAGCCCACAGAATGCACTTTTGTCTACAAGGCATGTGCCATTTGATTTCACTTAGCCCCACTTTCTGCATGGAGAGAGAGATGAGAAACCATCAGCCTGTCTGAGAGTATTTAACTCTGATGGCCCCGATACTGACCTCAAGCTTCTGGAAGCTGAGCGCTATTCCTAGTAAGGTATTAATCGCTGGGAAAATTGACCAGCACAGGAGAGCTCCTTTGGGGCACAATGCATGATGTCTGAGTCTGGAGCCCTAGAGACCCACCAAGGCCGTGGCAGAGCAGAGGGGATGCCGGAGCTGGAGCTGCTCTCTCGCCTGACTGCCCAGCCTTCCGCTGCCAGTGTCCTACAGCATGCTGCAGTGAGGGCACCCTCTCCCCACACACGGGCCCCACGACAGCTGGCTCCAAGGGCCCCTGCCTTACCTGTATCTTTTACAGCCTTGCCCAAGTCTGAGCTCAGGAGGACTCCAGTGCTTTTCTGGATGTTCTGGAAAACGTGCTGGCATAGGAAAAAGGGGGGGGGGGGACAACAAAAAACCAGAAGCCATCGTGAAGACCTGCGGGATGTGGATGGGAAAGACTCGGAAATCCCCTTTCCATGCCTGGAGCTCGCCTCACTAAAGCCTTGGTGCACCTAGCTCAGAGGAAGGCCTTCAGGAGGAGAGAGGACTAGTGTAGGCAGGAGTGGCCACTGCTGGGCTTGTGGGTTCTTCTCTTCCAACCTGCTTTCCTTTCCTCTTCCCACCTGGGATGGATCCCACACCTAGCACCGCTTGTTTGCACAGCAGCACCGGGCTCTCTGAACAGTCTGCAAAGGATCGTGGTGAAGCGCAAAGACCGGATGAGCAAGTGTCCGGGGAAGAAGTCCTGGCCCAACTATTGGCTAGCTGGGTAACCAATCTTGGGTGTTACTGTACCTCTTCTGGCAAATATTTATTAGGTGATTAGAGATGGATGCTGAACAAGAGGAGTGCACGCCGTGTGGAAAGTATTGCGCGCAGGTTGGACCTAGATCCGGGTCCTTATTCTGCGCTCAGTCGCAGGAAGTAGCAATTCATACATCACTTCCTCCAGACTCCTGCTCTTCGCTGTGATGCCTTCCAGATGAGGAAGCTGAAGCTCAGGCAGGAGATCTGGTCACGGACTCGGTGTGCAGCTGCTGCGAGGCCGCTTCTGGCCTTTGCATAGCTGCCCCCTGGGAATTTTCCAAATCAAACTCTCCCAGTGCAGCTGAGGCTGACTGGAAGCCTGTGCGCACCCCCGGCTTTAGAGCCCTTCCCTGGCCTTCCGTGGCTTTTGGAGAAGTCAGGTCAGACTTCAAGCGTTCTCCACTGGGTGTTCTCTTATGCAGTGGGTAACTGATTGGCTTGGTCATTTAGTCAGAAGTTTTTAATGCTGCTAGATTATACACAGTGTGGAGGGCACCGGGGAAAATGGATAGGAGGAGGCCTGCGCCGAGGACACTGCGACTCACAGGGGGAAGGAATGAGCTGGCAATTTCAGTGCCCTGCAAGAAACCAAGTGACCAGGGTCCCTGGCAGAGCCACGCAGGAGCTCTTTACTGAGCCTTTAAATATTGCATAGATATTTACTGACATGGTTGGACTTCCAATACATTGGTGCTTTCTTATTTTCAAAAAAAGTGTGTTATACTTTTATTCAGTGTATGTGAACATACACAGGAAAGAGTATGAGCGATATTTGCTGTGGTAGGTGTTAGTTTTCTTTGGGTAAGATAATGTTTTCTTTTTCAACTTAGTTTTGTTCACCTGTATTTTCTCCTATGAGCAGGCATTGCTTTTATAGCAAGGAAAAGTTATTTTTAAGTACAAAGCAATGAGACCGCTGAGTGTGGCTCATCCTGACAGCTGTAGGGCCACGTGTTAGGAGCCAGAGGGGCACGGTCACTGAACGGCTCCACGGGGTGTGGTTGGGGCTGGGCTAAGTGTGAGTGTGCAGCGGCAAGGATTAGGGTGTAGGGGAGGGGAAGGAAGGGGGGCCGAAGCTGCAAGGGCCTAGCATTTATAGGGAATAGGAAGGAGTCTTGTAGGAAGGGGTCAGAGAGGGGTGGATGAGGGAAAAAGGGCTTTTCCGTGACTCCAAAGTAGGGGTCCAATCAGAGAGCCTTGTATGCTGCTCTGATGAATTTAGGCTTCATCCTGAGGACAGTGAGGAGACCACAGCCAACTGGATCTGTGGTTCTGCATGTGCTCTGCAGAGGCATTGGGGGAAAATGGGGTGGCCTCAAAGACTGAGTCTGGGGAGCACCCTGTCACCTGACAGCTCTAGCTGTGGTGACTTCGGTCTCTGCTCCAGCCTTCCAGATCTCTGGTCATTTCCTGGTGTGAGCATGCCTCTCCAGACAGACCTGGGTGCAGGGTGAGGCTTCCTCTCATTGTATATCCCTCAATCCTGACACAGAGCTGGACACTGCATACATATTTACTAAATTGGATAAAATAAGGTTAGTCAGAGAGAACGTGCCCCTACCTGGCAGTGGACAAGTCGCCTCCAGAGTCTGGCAAACTCCTCGTGGTCGAGGCGCCCATTCACTTTCAGCTGGATGAGGAGTTAAGAGTTAATTAGTCTGGGGTACCCTGGGTGGCAGCAGCTGGTCTCCCCAGCAAAGCTAGAGCAGCCCTGCCATTAACTACTGAGCAGTTGGTCTCCAAGGCAGTCTGGTGTCACCTACACATGGCCCCATGCCAGCTCACTCCCACAGTTATCTGAAGGTGACCTGATTTAGATTTGTTTTACAGAGGAAAACAGGCAAGGAGGAAGAAGCCAGGGAGAGGGAGGCTGATTACACTTGCGTCTCAAGGACAGGGTAACTCTGACGTGGCATCCACCAAGTTGGGGCACTGGCAAGAAGGATGGGGATGACCACAAGGGTCTTGCAACTCTGGATGTAGTGGTGATGGGTCTACATACCAGTGTGGTGCACACATGGGGGCAAGGGATGTTTCCTATGTATTGATGCCAGTCCTGGCCACCCCACTGAATGGGGACACTGATGACTATGGGAAAGAATTGGTCTCTGAGAACTGGAAGAGGCCACGGGGGACAAGGAGGGAAGGGAGAGAGAGCCTGGTGTCCTTTGTAGGCTCTGTGTGGGTGACCCACCCTGGGCTGTGAGGGCTATTTGGATTCTTCTGTCTGATTGCAAACCTCAGCTAGCAGAGACAGGGCCTGATTTATGATTTCATCAAGGAGCTCTCTTGTTCTACATTGGCCAGCTTTGCATTCCCAATCGAGCCTTGTTAACCGTGTGGAAGTGGGGTGATCTGTCTCCCTCAGAGACAGCAGAGCTGGGGGAGGACCTGCCCGTGTGCTGCAGCCTCGCCTTCCTGGAGGAGATAGTGCAGGCAGGGCAGAAACTGCCCCAGGGGGAATGGAAGTAGGCATGGGAGTCAGGAGGCTGGGGTTTGATTCTTGCTTTTGTCACTTGCAGTCACTTAGCTGCCGTGACCCATTGTCCATGTCCAGAGACATAGCGTGTTGGCAGTGCTGCCTTAGCTGCTGTGTAGACCAGGGGTCTTCTGCATGTTTGGGTGGTTATTGCTATTAAGATGGGGCTCACTGAGTGAGGAATCTAGGTAGTCAAAACTTCTCTAGTGGTAGGGGGAGGGAAGTGGTGCTCATTGGTGCTCAGAGGAGGTTAGGACATGGACCTGAAGGTGACATTCGTTCTTCAAACATGGCACAAGTCTTGACTAGTTGCGTGATCTGAGTAAATTACTGAACCTCCTCAAGTCCCCATTCTTCCATTGTATAGTGGGACACTACTTATATTACCTGGATTAGGGCAAGAATTTTAAGAAAAATCTATATGTTCACCAGCACAATTTATAAGTGCTTGGTTGATGGTCAGTCTTGCTATCAGTGTGATCTGGAGAGGTCATGGAGAAGGCACAGGATCCCAGGCCTCTGGTGACCCTGGGAAGGCCACAGAGTGGATGGGCCCCTGGGCTTGATGCAAGGGCGCGTGGAAAGGATACATCCATCAGAGCCACGATGCTGCGGCACTCGTCGAGAGAGAAAGTGTCCCCTGGAGGTCCTGAGGAGGGAGAATAGGAAGGGCTGAATTGTCAGTAGGGTGGATGGGGCGGGGGAGAGATGAGGCTGGGACCGACCGACTTGGGCTAACTATACCTGTCAGGAACTCCTCGTTGAGAAGGCCCTGGAGCTGGGTGGCATCGATGTCCAGTCCCTGATTCAAACAAGGAATATGGGTATCAGATGGGCCAGGACCACAGAGCTGCACCTGCCTAGCTCTGGAGCAACTCTGATTTCCAACCATGTCCTGTCCAACAAGTGTCTGTGTCACTGTGGCCCTGAGCCTGACCTGGCTATTCCAGGCCATGGGAAGGACTCCTGCCCTGAGCATCTACAGTGCCTCTCAGTCCTAACAGCTGCTGCCGTGTGGGCCCCTTTTCAGTTTCCCTCCGCTTCTTTACTGGATGGAGAACAGCTGCTGCTTCCCCACTGTTCCTATCACTAGGGGCCCCTCAGGCACAACTTCTGGGTGAATCCATGCACCCCAGTGGGTGTGTTTTCCATCTATTTCTAAAAAGAGACTAAGAGAAAATATGACTGTATATGCCTGTGTGTGTGCACACATGTGTGATAATAGGAGTTAAAAATATCCCAAATCTAGGCTAAGAGAAGCTGCTACAATCAAGCACATTATTTAGTATTAATCTTCCCAGCCACTGAAGCAAAAAGGGAGGCATCATGGCTTTCCTAGGATTAAAAGCAGGAAGCAGTTGAGGTTGAGGGGAAAGAGGCCTATATTCTGGAGAAGTTAATCTCATTAGACTTTTTACTAGGGCACTGAACAGCATGATGGGCAGTGTCTTGATAACAATTTTACTGAGAAGCAGAGCTATTCTCCTTCGGGAAAGTGCTTTCTTGGAGAACTGGCTCTGGAGTGAGGTTTCTCAGCAGGTGGCTTTGTTGAGTGACACCAGGTCCCATGGAAGAAGGTATTTTCCATGGAGCTTCTGAGAACCAGCATCTTCCAGAAGGCAGACACACTGTCTCTTCCATCTCCCCAGATTGGCCTTACCGCTCACGCTGAGAGCAAATGTAGCCCCTCAGCCTGTCCTCATGGCTCCTTCAGCTAGAAGCACAGGTCCTCAGGATGCCCCAAGAAGATGTCCTGCCAGTGTCTGAGATTGCTCCTTGGGTCCCCCTTCCAACATCTCAGTTTGCCCGTATATGTGCCTGACCTCTCCTGAGTCTCTCCACAAAGGAATCCTAATGCCTCACCCTGATGGTAGCTGACACGCTAAGGAGAAATTCCAGCTAATCCAGAATGGCCCACTGGGCTACCATCGCATAGGCCATGGAGCATTTCTGCTGCCTTCCCATGTTCCCTCCCTAGGACCCTCTCCAGCCTGGAGCCACACTCCATAACCAACCGAAAGAGTTGAGATGATGAAGGCAGGAATGGAGCTGATGGCTGCTTAAACAAATTCCCAATGAACTGCATATATTTGTCTCTGATTCTGTGGTGGAAGACACCCAAGGGCCAGCACTTCAGCATTCCCAAAGCCTGGTGTGGTACATAGAATGTTGTAGGTCCTGGGGAAAAGCTTGTCAGCTGAATAAACAATGGGGAGTGGATGGGTTTGACCCAGTCCACAGTTCAAGTGAATTCCTCATTTCCCAAAGGCAGACCTTGATATAGTAGTAGCACCACTACCAAGGCTAATGAAAGTAAATAGTGGTAGTAACAAGTCACTGTATTCATTTAAAGCTAAATTGATATAACAGATCAGGAGGCAGGACACAGTGAGTGCCCGGAATCCTATTTCACTTTAAAAATTCTTCGGAAGACACAGCCTCTGAGGGTAGCCTGCAGATTATGTAGGATAACCCCAGCTGGACCCTGTTCAAGGGTGCCCAGTCTAGAGGTGACCTTGGAATAATGCTGTGTCTGTGCCTTATTCTGATTCCCACCGTGGCCCGATGTGACACTCTATAAGGAGGCGGTTGGCTGTTGTTTGGGAAGCCCTGCTGTGACTCTATAACTTATCATTGGACAAGTTATATTTCTAGTTTAGAGGTACAACTGCATGGACCCTGCAGAAGCTTGATTTAAAGCATTCTCATGAGACTATGCTAACCACTTCAGCCTAGCTAACCTTAGTTTGGGCATCTGTTCTGGGAAGCTGCTCTGTCTTACTTGTCAAATGATTGAGAACCTACACTGGGCTGAGGACAGTGATCTGTACTGGGGGAAAGGAATGCACACACTGTCCTCCCTACCTGAGAAACACACACTGGGAACAACTATCATCTTGGGCAGCAAGCGAAGCCTTCAGAGTTGGCCTGGGGGTGGCCTGACTCCTCAGCCAGTGCCGATTCCAGTGAGGTCCATTCCAGCCAGATTCTACCTTTCTGCTTTGTTTCTCTCTGACCCCAGCATGCCGCCAAGATACTGCCACCCCATTCATGCTCCGACTGCAGAGGCAGGGCCTGGCATCCTTCCTGTCCTTGGCCTCTGCCTGGCCCAGGCTGGTGTAGTACACACAATCATCTGTATCACTTGCTGCTTCCCACACCAACGTGATTATTAATGGCAAAAGGCCTGCCATGCAGAGCCCTTGGCAGCTGTTTTATCCTGACAAGTCAAGGAGTTCTTTATAACAGTTTATTAAACCATTAGGAACATCTCAAATGCACATAGGTGGCTTGGCAGGAAGTGTGCTGTCGTGCTTTCTGAAGCTGGCCAGCTCCTGGAAGGAATGATGCCAGGTTGTGGGGGAGGTGGCAGAGCTGGAGAGGGAATGATTTCAAAGGGTACTGCCAATTGCTTGCTTAAAGATGTGAAAGGCAACGTACCCCTGCACACTCCCTGTAATTATCCTCTCCCTCTCTAAGCTCTTTGTTCCACTGGGATGTTATGCAGCGGGGGTTGGGGGGATCCTCTCCAGTTTGGCAGCCAGAGAAGTTCTGGAGTGGTCCAGGGAGAGGGAGAAGCTGATAAAAATGACCCATCAATTGGCTTTTCCTCTGCATCCCGACAAGAGCCTGGAGAGCTCTCCTTCTTTGAAGTCCCTCCATATCCTGCCCCATGGAACCCCTCAGTGCTTGGTACTGTACCTTTGGCGCATATCTGTAGAAAGTGCTTTGTTCAGAGTCTTCTGAAAGACTTCCCTGGGTCAAAGAGAAAATGGCCAACATTAAGATTCTGAGGGGGCTGGGGAGATGGCTCAGTAGAATAAGTGCTTGCCTGGCAAGCACAAGGGCCTGAGTTCAATCCTCAGTTCCACAAAAAACAAATTCTGAGGAGAAACCTCTGTCCGATATAGCAAGGGTCTAACAACTCCCACTTAAATCTGAGACAGACAGTTGGAAAAAATTCAGAGAATTAGGAAACCAAAGTTTGTGGCAAAATGATGTGTGGGTCCAGCCCTGGTGATGTCTTTCCCACCCCATTCCCATCACTTTGAGTCCATTCCAGTCTCTTCACTTCCACTGATCAGTGGTGAGACCAGGGGAAGATGCTGGGGACAGGATGCGGCCAAGGAGGTTCTCCAAGCCAAAACCTTCCAACACACCGGTCAACCACTGCTTCCTCCATACCTACCTCGAGAGCTCTGAGGTTGAAATTGCTGCCTCGGTTCCTAGAAAACCAGGAGGACAATGTGTCAAAGATGACCTCCTCACTATTGGGAAGAGGCTATTACAGGGACACCCAGGAGGCACCTGACATTTCGGACAAGGATGATAGTGGAGACCCCTTGGCATCAGTGGCCTGGAAGTGGGCAGTCAGCAGACAGACCAGCTTCTCAGATGGACATGGTCTGAGCTTCTGCTTGGAAAACAGCCACTTTCATAATGAGACGCACACCTACAACATCCCCCATTGCCAGGATGAGAATGAGTATTGCTTTATATTCCATGTTGACAGTGGCCACCCAGCCTGCTGGATGGAGAAGACCTCCTCCATACTCACTGGAAAGTTCACTATGATCAGAGGAATGTCTAGCTTAGCCCCAAAGGGGACAAGATGCCCTGGTGTACCTGTGGATCTCAGACTTGTCTACTGACCAGGCATTCAAGGTCCGTTGGATTAGACACACACACTGTATCTTTCAGGCCCACTTTTCATGGTTCTCCAATTCATTCCACCTTGTGGCCACATTTCACACAAGATGACACACAGCTTGTAGGCCACCAGACTGTCACTTACTCTTTACCAAGGCCTGTGCTCAGCCACTTCCCTGATTCAGAGAAGGCTTTTCCAGTTGCAGAGACTTTCTCTTTATGCCATTAATTTGTTTTTCTGTGAGGACCCAATCAGGTGCCATTTTCTTCAATAGACCTGCTCAGTCCCTCTGGCCAGGCATAGGTCCCTCTATCCTTCCTCCCATGCAGCTTTGCACCTAGTAATAGCCACTTCCTGTTTGGGTCTAACTACTGGTTCATAGACTTTTATTCTCCCTCTTTTGGAGAGTTCTCAAGAGCAGAGACCGTACAGCGGCCCCCACCGACACAGTGCATGCTGCATAGAAGGTGTCCAGAACACTGCACACCACAATACGACACTGTTTAAAAAATCGAGGTGGTATCTCAGAGATTCTGTACCTGTCATTGTCTGGCATTTTCAGGAAGATTCTAAGCAAGAATCTAGCTGCTTCTCTATGTGTTGAGGGGACCACGACATAGGTCCCAGAGTTGAGCTGGAAGGACTTCGTGAAGTTGCATTTGGTTTTATACTCTATGCCCTGGGCAGCATTTCTAAATGGAGAAAAAAACGTGGGCGGCAATCTCTCCTGGAATTGCTGAAACTAGAAGAAACATGATTATTGTGGGAAAGCCCCCTCTCCCCACGGACCCAGCCAACAGGAGAGGCCCACCGCCTTTCAGACCTAGCACTGCATCAGAACAGCATGGCAAGCCCTGGCAAGAGATGCAGCACTTTTCTGAACTTTCAGAGCCCAGCAGAATTTAGACTTAATTCACCCAGATCTTGGATTCCACAATGCGAAGAAATATGACAAGCAATTGTACCTTATTAAATCTAACAGCATCTTGGGTTTATGGTTTTTTTTCCTCTGTCTCTCTCTGCTTCTATGTTAAGATCTCCATGGGAACTAGTGACATTGTTCTAACATGGACTTTCTTTTGGGTCCCCTAAAGCCCCTTTTACAACCTGTGAAATACAGGGCTGCCACAGCATTGCGGTGTTGAATTCTTCTCACTTGCTCTGTTTCATCTCTCCAACAGAGCCCTGAGATTCTTTCTCATTGGAAGATAACAGCCCTGATCATTTTCCTTTTATTTCAATATTTTCTTAGAGATAAAACAATAAATATAATGCAGTTCCTATTACGAGATGTCACATATATATTACATAATAAAAACCCCTTACTAAACAAATTTTCCCTTGCTACAGTTGAGCATGGGGATTCCATTTAGAATGGTTACATGGCATGAAATGGTTATTTATGAGCTCTGCCTTGGGGGGAAAATGGGAAAAGGGAGTATTTTTTCTAAGGTTAGGGACAGGGATGGGCTCCCAGGTGAGTCAGGACAGAGGTCACAGCCCTGCGTGCAAGGCAGAGCCCTGCTGGAGTGGTCCAATGCCTTGGAGCCCTTCTGGCAGAAGCAAGGACAGGGCCAGCTCCCCTTCAGAGACTCAGCTGTCTCTGAAGCTGGAGCTAAGACTCTGCTCCTGGCAGTGTCAGGGCAGAAAGCCTCCTACAACCCAGGAGTTTAGAACAGCCTTGTTTCCCTGCTCTCCTCCCTTCCTGAGATGCTCACAGCCCAGTCGAAGCTCCCAGTCCTTCAGAACGTGCTTGCTCAGTGGCAGTGAGGGGTGTGTGTGTTGGACACAGAGCTGATTGCCATCCTAGGGAATGGGGCTGAGGCCTTTTCCTGGGTCAAGTCCCCACCCCATTCTCCAGCTCTGGGAACTAGATACCAGTCAAGTTCCTGCACCTGATCACTTTCCTCCGAGCCCTTTCCTCCGCACCCAGGGTCACTTTACTCCCAGCTCTGCATGGGCTTCCTAGTCTTTCCTGCTGGGTCTCCTTTCCTGGTCTTGGTCTACTGTGAGGCTACCCGGAAGGCCTGCAGGGGCTACAGTCTCCATCTGTTGGCTGTGGCCACACCCTGCCCCCCTCCACCTACTCTGCCCTCCACCACCTGCAGCAGAGAGGTCTCTCTAGTGGGTAGGGATAGGGCTGGATTCCCACATCCATGGGAGGTGAGTGCCTGAGAGGTCAGGTTTTCTAATTTCGTGCTTTTCTGTACTTCTCCTCACAGATTTAAGTTTTAGCGATACTAGGTCATGTGATTGGCTTAGGAGCAGTGGCAATTTGCTTGTCAGCAGATCCAGAAGAAGCGCCTTAAAGCTGAATGTGGAGCTGAAGGCTGACTAACTCCGGAAGCTGAAGGTCCTCTGAGGAGCGCCTGAGTGCTGCTCTCATCTTCCACACATGGGAATCGGATCCACCTATGTTCCCTGGCAGGGGTCAAACACTTGAGGACTGCAGTTGCTCTTGAAAAGTAAAGAGGAGAGCCCCCAAGGGATCTGACTTTTAGACCAGGCCAACTAAATGTTTTCTCACTTTGTTGATCTGCTTGAGATGCTAAGCCTGTGTCTGACAAAAGACCTAGCAAGACTGAGTTTGCAGCCTGGAGTATGTGGAGGTCCCAGTGTTGGAAGAGTCTTGACACTGAACCAAGAGGAAGCACCCGAGGCAGGGAAAGGTGGTAGGCCATACCTGAGCGTCAACCTATGGGGCAAGAGAGGAAACCTGGGTCAGGATCACAACAGAGAGTCGAGCAAGCGTGCGCTGCCTGACTTGGGACCCTGTGTTCCTTCCTCTGGTGTGGCCAACCCCATTTTCTGGCAGAGAGCGAGGACAAGGAATAAGGACTCACTCCCAGGGCAGCATTGTGTAAAGGAGACCTACTACCTTGTCTGGTTGCAGAAGAGGAAGGGACTCAGTGAGGAAAGAAGGTGAGTGGGAGGGGAGGGGCCCCATTTGTCCCTCTGCAAAGTGTGGTTCCTGTCCATAGCAATGAGGATAACATGGGGAGGAAAAGGGAGACATGATGGGGCTGCCGATAGGACAGAGGCTCAGCCCAGTGTAAATTCCCTGGGTGGAGACCTCCAGTAGTTCCCCCAGACTGTGCTTATGCTGGGGATTTGTTCCAGGCCTCCTGGTGCTCTCAAGAACATGTGTGTGCAGATGAATGGGGACACAGCTATGACCCATGTTTCCTCTGGAGGAAAGGAGCATGGAGGATGTAGCTTCACCTTTAAACCCCTCTACTGTTTGTGAAGCACTCGCATGCACAATGCCAGATATTTGTGCTATTCCTGCAAGCAGGCATCCTGCTTTGTGAGTGCAGAAACAGAGGTTCAGTGGTTTAGGCAGTGGAGTAGGGAACAGGACAACCTGTGTTGTGGCCCCCACCACCAGGCAGTGCCTTCCCAACTGTGTGGGATTTAATTCTTTTCCATGTTCCAACCTCTCCTGCTCTTAGGCAACCAGGCTCTGGTTTGCAGGAAGGCAGAGCAGCGCCCCACACAGAACTAGGGCTGGGGCCCCGTGGCAGCTGGGTGAGTGCTGTTCACTGAGCCCAACGGACTCACAAATGCCTGGCCGCTGCTATGGACAAAGCCTGTTTCTGAACTGAACCGCAAGAGGAGCCTGTGTGACTTTTAAATTGTCAAAGTCGGTTCTTTGATGTCTGGCTGATCAAGAACCCTGCAAGATCTGCTGGGATCTCCAGGGACCCAGAGAAGACCATGGGTCTGGGCACTCCTGTGGGAAAATGGTGGTAGAGGAATCCTGTGTCTCTGGTGACAAGGAGACAAGTGGGCTTGGTAGTATTTTTTAAATGGGTACAAGCCTAGGCTTTCTGAACTGTAAAGACTCAGGGCAAATTAGTGACTACGTTCCATTGTGTCGCCAGCTCAGAGACCCCAAGCTAAAGGAAAATGATGGGAACAGTTTCTACAGGAGCCATGAGGCCCCAGGCCTCCCCAGGGTTCCCCTCATTCACATAGAGATAAAAGTCGGCTGAGAGGTTCTGGGGCTGAGAGGTTCTGGGGCTTGACCTGTTTGTGTTTTGGGTGAGAGAGTAGCTGTCTTAGCTGTCTCAGCACAGCTCTCAGATTTACATTTATTGGTTTTTGTTTTTTTTGTTTTTTTGTTTTTTTTTTGGTAGACCTAACTACAGCCCAAAGCTTGTTAAAATGCAGACTTTCCAGTTATGCTCTTGTAGATTCTGATTCAGGCAGGCCCAAAAATCTGTATAAATAAAACTGGTCTTGGCCAGGCCGCTTCTCCAGGTCTAGGCATTAGACTCTGCAGCGTACCTGGAAAAGCTGACAAGTGACAGAGGCCAGAAATGGCTCTCATTGCCAACATTGTCAAGTCTAATCTCTTCTCCAGTTTTAGGTTTTCTTGCAAATTTAGTCAGACAGATACACAACACTGACCCTTTGGGCTTTATCTCCAAGCCCTGGTACACCCAAATGTTCCTGCCCAGGTGACCATCCTCCCCAGCCCAAGGTTTACACCAGTGTCCCTACACAATGAGCCTGAGACAGGAAGCCTTACCTTAAACACCTGGAAGTTCAAGGGAAATCCTTCCTCTTCTTCTATCTTCAAGCCTTGTGGCATGACAGTGAAGGACACAACAACATTGTCACCTCCCTGGGACTCTCGCACACTGAAGAGGTACTGAGCATTCCTCCAGGGTTGTCCTATGTGAGAAAAGACCATTACTGGGGCTGTGTCTTGCTTGGAGGGCCCTGTGGGGCTGGGTCATTGCTTCTGGATTTGGACACCTAAGGCCTGGGTACCTGTCTTGCAGTTACTAGGTAGGGAACAAGGCTTTCTACTTTTGAAGTCTCCCTCTTAAAAACAAAAAAGGAAGTATAGTCCCTAGTTCATGAAAACGTCTCTTAATCTGTGTTTTGGATATTTTCCTGCAGCTGCTATGCAGTATCTGACATGCACAGCTTAATGGAGAAGAGGTTTATTCTGGGGTATGGTTTCATTCTATGATTGACTGGCTCCAAGGCAAAAACAAGAAGGAAGGAGGCACAAGAGAACAAAAGCAGCTCTACCCATGGCAGCCAGAAAGCAGAGCAGAAAGAGGAGCTAAGAATAAGAATTCAGTTCCCAGGCCATGGCCTGTTTCTCATGGCCCATCGGGCTCCACCCCCAAGCAGCATGTTCAGCTACCAAAGTCATCAATGTCCCATGATCCAATCATATTCCAAACACACAGGACTTCCGGAAGCATTTTAGATCAAAAACATAACAATGTGTAAAGTCAAGGGCTATTCTAATAATGAGCAAAATTCCAGGGTTCCCAGATACACATGACAAATGCCCTTGTGGTAACTGTCAGAGGCTTGAATGACGTCAGTTGCCCAAGGACCAGTGATGACACAGGGAGACAGACAGCCACCCCCAGTGTTCCTCTACCTCCAGACTGCTGGTCGATGCCAGAGAAAGAGACAAAGAACTCATGTGGGGACTGTTAAAGTTAGACCCATGAAGGAATAAGTCAGGATAGAGATAAATGGTTGCACGGCAGAAGGTTCAAGTCACACTGGGAAGCCCTGAAAGGAACTGGGGAGACATAGAGGACTGTCACGGTCATGGGCTTTCTATGAGGATTGGATAAGACCATGCATTAAAATGCACTTAACAGGTGCTTAATTGCTGGCTCCTATCCCTCTCTTCTGTGTAAGGTATTTACTGAAAATGGCCCCAATGTATAATTTTGGTTAGTTCATTGATATGCATTCTATCCGGGCTGTATAGTCAGACAGGCATGGCTCAGGAGATGCACCATTTAGAGTGATTTGACAGCTTCTGTGTCTGCCTGTGGCTTCCTGGTGACCATGCTCTGTCAGCAGCAGAGTGATCATGAGATTCTAGAGGTAGAAAAGAGAGACACCGTGGGGTCTGGGAATCATTCAACAAACCATTCTCATCAGACAGGTGGACTGGGCAAAGGAATGCGTATGTCTGGATACAAACGTACATATACACGCACTTGCACACACAAGAACATTTTTATAGCCTCTTTTATCAAAAATGTATTAGCACACATGAATTCAACTCCGCAGAGAGCAGTTTTGCTCATCAGTGTGACAAGCAGATGCAGGAGGTACACTGAGGGAAGGTGACTCTCTGGAAGACACAGTCAACATGATTCATTTCAAGGAGCCCTCTCATAGGCTTAGATGTGCCTACACTACTGCCTCCCCAGCAGCATGGGGCAGCATGACTGTTCCTGGCATCTGGGTGGCACTGTGTGGACTCCAGTAGCCCACAGGGATTATTAAACCCACAACTGGGGAAGATGAAGACAGACAGCTATACCCCAGAGTCACTAATCTAGGGTGTGACAAAGACAGTGGTGTAAGCTATGTACTGACCCTTATCCAGTGCTCTTTCCACTGCACTCCAACTACCCTGGATATTTACTAAAGAGCAGGGAGGGTGCTGATAGCTTCTGGTCAGGCAGAGCTGTGGGCAATGTTATACCTACCTGCACTGTTTCCTAGAATCTCTTGGTTCTTAAATATCATTTGGCCCCATGTTCCATGGGGCCTACGTCCATGGTCCAGAGTGATGGGGATTTGGTTACATATGAACAAAGAAAAGAAGTTCTCCTGGAAATCTTGACATGACATCCTGTTGAAAACAGATACACAGATACAAGCCACTAAATGATCATGGACTGTGTCCCCAGGAGGGCAGGCGGGGCTGCTGTCACTTCATGGCACCTTTTCAGTGTCAGCCAGCTTGGTCACTGACTGACCTAGCCAAAGAGCAGGCCATGGCCTTGGCTCATATAGCATCAAGCAGCCTTCTGCTTTCTTAGTCCTTTTCTTTCAGGGGTTGAAAGGACAATAGCAGATTCTGGGTTTTTCATGTTACCTGGGAGGGGCTGTATCATTACCCATTTTCCTGAGCTAGTAATCTGTGAGCTTTCTCATAGCCTGTGGGACTATAGCAGCACTCTCTCTGAATCCTGACACTGCTATTACATTGCCCCTTCTCGAAGCCCATCTGCCAGATCTATTGTTGAGATCTTCATAAAAAAGAAATGTGGGGCTGGCCAGATAGCTCAGCAAACTAAAGTGCCTGCTTAGGCAGACACAGGGACCGGGATTTGATCCCATGCTGGCCCCGCCCCTGGGGCATGCTGAGACAGTGATTGAAACTGGGCTTGGTGTCACATTCCTGTAACCCCAGTGCTTGGGAGGCTGAAAATAGGAGAATCACTACAAGTCCAATCAACATAGTAAGACCCTGTAGACCCTGTACTAAAAAAAAAAAAAAAAAAAAAAAAAAAAAAAGAAGAGTGTTCCACACCTAAAACCTTAGCACCTACTATGATGAAAGTAGAGATACTAGGGATATTCTTCTTTCTAATTTACATTTGTTTCTCTAGTTCTTCATATCTTAGATCCAGGGTCCTTTTCATGTACATTTTGATTCTATTTAAATGTGACAGCAAGTAAACCAGACAACTCTGCAGAGAAATGCCTGTCTCCTCTCCTAAGACACAAGCATACAGATGAGCGTTTCTTTTTTAAAACCACTAGCCATCTAGTCTTGCAGGACTTTTGGGTGATGAAAGTAATACTCTATCCAGAATTCTAGAGTCAGGCTGGGGGCAGAGCTTCCAGGGTTCTTTTTGTAGACCCACTCCAGAGGAGACAAAAGAGCTAGAATTCTATCAAGATGGTATGGAAAATATGGGCATCACACCCCTGGTTTCCAAAGAGCTGTTTTCTGTCAAACTTTTGATGCTAGTTTTCCCTTTCGTCATCAAAATATCTGGCAAAATTCAAGACGGCATTCTCAACCAGAGTGGCAGTGTTCCGTCTAAGGGTTATCTTGCTATAGAAAATAGTATCTCTTTAAGGAGGTCTCTGAAATGTTCAGTTCCGTCCTCATTAAAGTTTAGGAAACGAAGTAGGGATTGAAAGTGTGGACAATAAAGATTTAAAACATCATTTTTAAAAAATGGCAACTACCAGAACTCGCCATCTTCCTTGTTGTGGTACAGCTGCCTTTTCCGTGGGTCTTGGGTTTCTTGCCATTCCTGGGACCTGCAAGCAGAGAAACAAAATTGTCCTAGAGTTTCAGCTCAACCACACCTGGTCCAGTAAGGGGTCTTTGCATGGCCATTACTAGTTCCTGGGGACAAATAGAGTATCATTTTACTGAAGGATGGGGCTCTATTCATTAAATTTCTCTGCCTCAGTCATGCTGATGGCTTCCAAACACCTTTCCCCAGCTTGCTCCTCTTTCCTAAACTCAGCTCCACAACGCATCCCACATCTCTACAGAGTCCCAAAGTGACCTCACATCACCTGTTGTCTAACTTCCGTTGCCCATCAAGAAGATAAGAAGTGTTTCTCACTACATCACCTCCAAATAGTCATCAAGTACTTTCACTCCCTGATGCCTCCCATAGGGCCCTCTCCCAGCCTCCACTCTACTTCTTCTATCCTAGTTTCAGTCACCCTTTTCTCCCTTTTGCACCCCAGCCAGTTGCCTTAAACTCAGTCCGACCCACTTTCCCAGGCTTTCTCTACACCACCATCAAAGTGATCTTCTGACAGACAAGCTAGATTATGTCATTTTCCTGTTTAAATCTTGTCCATAGTTCTGTTACTCTCAAGAATGACCAAAGTTCAGCCTCCTTAAAGAAAACTGCAGCCTCTGCCCACTTATCCAGCTTGACCTGGGCCCTTCCCCACCCCCACCTTAGCATTGAATTCCATGTTCTGGCCAACCTGAAGGCCCTCACTTTCTTAAAGATGCCCCACACACCACCTGTGGCTGTCATTCTGATGTCTCCTCCATAGAATGCCTGTGTTTCTCTCAGTTCTTCAACCACTCTTACTCCTCTTTCCCCCTACAGGGCACTTCCTTTGGGAAGCTTTGCTCGACCTCCCACACCCAGTCTCCCCCCATTGGGAGCAGGAGCCCTCCTTAGAGCACCCACAGCTGCCTGGACCCTTCTGTCTCAGCACTCAGTGCCCTGTGTAGCTATTGTCTGTTCGCTGCCATTCTTCTCTGGACTCCCAAGTGCCCACTGAGCTGGGGGCATTGCTTTCCATTGTATCATCAAGATGACCAGCACGTGTCTCAGCACAGAGCTGGCCCACGATGACTTTCTGCTACTTTATTAATGAATGCTATCCATTTCACTGGATGATGTGTTCCAGAAGCTGGTCCTAGAGTCCATGAGGAGGCCTCTCCCTCAGCCTGCTCTTTAAAATGCAGGCACGCTGTCAAGGCAGTGGGCCCCTGAGGCACAAAAGTTTAATGAGATTTTTCCATGGAGGAGCTCAAATTGAGAGCCTGGTCACCTCTGTGCTAGGGCAGCAAGGCAGAGACCACCATTCAGGCTTCCAGCTTCAGGCTGAGGCAGTCAGATGTGTTATTGTAAAATGGCAATTTTATAATTAAGCGATAATTACATTTTCTGCAGTATGTAAGGGAAAATAAATGTAGTGTAAATCAATATGCTATTGATTCATGCAAGTTTGCCTTTAAGTGTGTGCGTCTGAAATTTCAATTATGGCTGAGATTAGACCATCCGGCGTTCTCCATTCATCTCCATTCCTAAAAAGTAGGGATGAAATCGACCACCTGCACGGAGAAAGTGATTATGCAGTTTGCGCCATTTCCTTCCATCCAGAGGAGGAGGGGTGGAAATGGGAGAGCCTCAGCACCGCCACCCGCTCCTCTCACTTGTCTGTCCAAGGCCAGCTTGGTGGCCTTGAACAGGATAGGCCTGTCACTGGCTAGGGACCTGGGCCTATGCTTCCCCTCATACCTAGTGTCTCTCCTGAAGGGTTTCACACTCCCTGCTCCAAAGTGTCCTGAAGGGTTTCACACTCCCTGCTCCAAAGCGTCAATCCCATCTGTGGCACATTGGCTGAACGTGGCCCCCCAGGAACACTTTCCTCCCCTGATCTCTGATGTCCCTTTTGTAATCACTGATCATTCAATATTTAACATAGGATGGGTGAAATGTCAACTGCTGTGAGTTCATTACCTGTTTTCTTACCCTAAGGACTCTCTCATAGCTACTGGCCTTCCCTCTGATTCTACTCTGAATGGCCAACCCAAAGTGAGGGATTCTGGCCAAGGTCACTAGGATTTACAAGGTCACTAGAAAAGGAAAAAGAGTACCCTTGGAAGGAAGAGAGATCAGAGGTGAGAGAAAAGGAAAAGGACGACAGTCAGGTAGACAGTCTCCACGCCTGACTAGCGCATGGTTTTGCCAGTTCTTTTTCCTTCTATGGGGGGATTCAGCTGCCCTGTTTTCCAAAGGCATCTGAGGCCACAGCCAGGTTTATTCTCCAAATTCATCTTGCTATTGCCTCCCTATTCCCTCTCCTCAGCCTTAGCCAGCACATATACTGCCTGAGTGCCCTCATGTGCCAGGTACACACCAGCCACCAGAGGTTATGGAGGCTCAGAGCTGTCCTGCCACAACCCGGCAGGGGGCACCAGGCCACACTCTGGCATGCCGGATGGCTGGTGGAGCTGAGTACGGGCAGCTGTGTCTGCCTTCCCCAAAGCACTGCATTCACTGTATTGATTTGCACTGCCTGGTGGGTCCCATGCTCCTGTTTGTCTGAACAAACTGCTTTCCTTGCCCATTGTCACCTTCCCCCACCCTGTTTCTGTCAATAATGCTGTGGCCACCACGTCATGACACTTTGCGTAGACCCGCACAGATGTTCACAGAATGCTGCATTCTCGGGACCAACTTCCCACTCTCAGTCAGCAGGGGTGGGGTGTCGGGGCTTAGGTCCTATGCCACCTGGGAAATGCCAGCACAGATCCTGTGGGCAACCACTGACTGCACAGCCAGAGCCTGCCAGGACATGCTCCCCAGGGCATCAGAGACCACTTACTCTACTCACTCTCAGCACGAGCAAGTTGTCATTCGTCGCAGTTACCTGCGACGTGCAGGTGTCCAGATCAGTGGGTAGGCCTGACAATCGGAGCTGAGTTCAGTGTCCAGATCATTGCCTTCGTTTTCCTAATTAGCCCAGCCATAAACGTTTTCCCCCTTAGTCCCATGGCTAGAGTAGTGTTAGGATCCACAAGATCCCTCCCAGGCTTGAGGCTCCTGCTGTCTACCTCTCTTGCCAAGTGGAGGCTTGGCCACTGGCCTGCCCCTGCCTTCTTGGTACATGGATTCACAGCTGTAGACTAACCTCCTGGAGGACAGACACAAGGCATTCTCATCCTTACATTCCTCTGAGCACTCACCTCACACACTTCATATCGAGTGTACACAGGAAATGCTACTGGCTGCCTGAAGACTGGCATCATGGCAATGTGGGGTGGGACCCACAGCCACACCCAACTGTGAACAGGACAGGCTGGCAGTGAGGCCCAAGGCAGGTAGGATATACGCTACTTCATGCACAGGGTGCTCCTGCCTGCGGGGCTCTCTGCAAAGGCTTTCCCCAGAGGCCCCCAGCCATACCCATCTCTCCAGCGCCCTCGCCACTCCGTTTTGCCCCAGGGATTCCACAAGCGGACAATGTCTTCCCAGCCTGTCCTGTACTGAATCTGCAATGAAGACCAGAAAAGGAAACTGTCAGGGTGCTCTGGCTCAAGTCAGCAGAAAGAGGGACTATGAATGCTACCGCTTTCTCCCTCCGAGGACTAATTTAACTTCTGACCTCATTTGGCTGCAGCCAGGGGAAAAAAAAAAAAGGATTAAAAAAAAAAATCAATGACTCCCTTGCTACCTGCCTGGACTTGGAATGAGATAGAGGAGAAAACGACCCTGCCTTCTGCTCAGCCCCTAGCAGGAGGTGCAAGTTCATCAGGATGTGTGGCTGCTCCGGAGAAGCCCGGCAAGCTCAGATTTAATGGCAGATACACAGCACGGTTGCCGCTTCATGTTGCAGAGCAGAAGGCTTTATGGGTCCCCAGGTCCAAGCCCCTCTACAGACAGTGTCTCTGTCCATAGACGGAGCCTGCTTCCCTGCCAGCAGCTGGCTTGCAGCTGTGGCCCCACCTGATGGTGCTGTCAGGAAGGAGGAGTAAACAGGCTGATGTGTGCCAGACCTGGACAGCCCAGGCGCGGGACTAGCCAAGGCCAGCCCACTCATCCCCTGTTGGGGGCAGACACCTCTGCAGAAGAGAATCTGACCTGCCAGGTCTGGACTTTCCAGCCTTCCACCACCCTCCCTCCCTCTCTTCCTTCTTCCCCTCTATCATCACTCATTTCAGATGTTGAAGTTGGCAGCGTTGCTCCTCTGCTCCCATGAAGCCAGAGGACCGGGCTGTGGGGAAGTTACCACAAACAACAGCAAGCCCTTGAACTCTAGTCCTGGAGGCCTGGAGCTCTCAGTCCAGAGAGGGGATTGAGTTCAGCACTGCCACAGTGCGAGATGGAGGGAGAGCTGGGAAGGGAGGAGCCCACGCAGGGGTAGGGGAGCTCAGAGCCAGGCGGAGGCAGTGAGCCTGCCCTCCACCCGGATACCTCTGGAGTAGACATTTATAGTGACCTTGTCTTGCAGAGGACGAAACTGAGCATCAGAGAGGGTCAGCAACTGTGCCAAGACCTCAGCGCAGGCGGGAGAGCCAGGACTCTGGTCCTAGCCACTGGTACTTTCTGGCTCTGAGTTTTGCCTTTGACATAGACAAATGTCTCCTCTTGGATGTGGCTGTGACCTTGACCTCAGATCCAACACATGAGCTTTGTCTGGGGCCTGTGTGATCACCCACAGAGCAGCGTCCCAAAGGAACAACACAATCACTCGAGGGCCGAGAAATGGGGAAGGTGCTCAGGCTCCCAGCACCAGCCCAGGGATCTGTGCCCTCTGCCCCACCTGCAGACCCTGCATGCCATTTACCATTAGCTGCCAGCACCTGATACAGCACACTGAGCAGGGGCATGAGAAATGGTTGCCCAGTGGCCCACAGAGCTTAATGAGCCACCTTAAGGGCCCAACGGATAGTCGGAGGCCCAGTTGGGCAGAGGAAGGAAAAGTGGCCAGCGACTCAAGGGGGCTGAGAGCAGAGCTAAATGAGGCATGCAGATAAACATTCACCCCCTTGCCCAGGGGACTTGCTGCTGGAGCTAGGTGCATAATAAAAAATGCCAATTTCATTTATCTTCCTGTCTGTGTCCTGCCTAGAGGGAGGATGAGCAGATTAAAAAGCATACTGCATTTATGGGCTGGTTTAATCTTCACATTTGTGGCTCAGGGTTAGAACCAACCTCCTCTTTCGGAGATATCGTTAGCTAAGTCCCTGGGCCCTTGGATAACTGGCACCATTAGGACAATAGCCTACAGGTGATTGAAGGGGCCTTGGGCAGGAGCCCAGGGGTCACATTCAAGGTCAGGTTCTTCACCACGCTGCCTGCTGCCCATGTTGCCAACAGGTGCCACTGGGCAGGAAATGGCCCCGGTGGGTCACCCTAGACAATGGTTCCCCAGATGTACACCCCTGAATGCTAGTTCCATTGGCACTTAGTAGGTAATTCTAGGACAAAATGGTTTCATGGAAAATGGTAGATTAAAAATAAGCAGTACCTTTCAATACAGACCTTCTCAGAGCCTATCACTATTAATATATACATTTCTTGTTATATAGGTCCTGCTTTATCTTAGTCTTAACTATCCAGCAGAAAAGTATAAGAACAAAGTATAAAAAGTAATATGCTGAGCTGTAAAAGGTTCAAGTCAATGAGGAATTTAAATGGCAATGTAATCCCCATCTCTGACAAAACTAAATAAAAAAAGGGGATATAAATGAAGGACCATTTTGTATCTGTATATACAAAATAGGGTAGATATACAGCTACTTTCTCTTTTTTTTTTTTTTCTTGATGCCCACCTGTGCCCCTTCTAGGGCAGTTTTATTGGTGCCATTTGTAAAAGGTCTTCCTGTCAGCCCCAAACTTTGCCTTTCTTTCCCCTTACAAGGCCGCCAGGCCTGAGTCCTGGCCCTGGCCCCACAGGCAACAG